CTTACGGGAGTGATTTCTAGGCTGGATTTAGTGAGATGTTTAATGTGGGATTTCCAAACGGTATACTCTATATACCAAACAAACCCTACTTCCGATATGATCCTACCTGGTTATTCCTTACTTGATAGATTTTGATGTAGACCTTGGAATTATTGAGGAATCTAGACTATTATTTAAATAGTCGCCATGATTATGAAACCAGACTAAGACTTAGTGTTATACATTTAGGTCTTTGAAAAGTGTGAAGGCGAAGCGCTGCCCTAACTTTGAGTCACATACTTCTATCAGGTGAGTGCATAGTTACTTTCGGCTTACACATAAATATGAAGTATTCTTAAATGCTAAACGTGCTTATACCCATGTTCTTGACATGTGTGTTATATGCGATAAAGTGATATGATTTTACTTGTATAAATTACTTTATCATATTTAAATTTCATTGGGGTAGTAAAGGTTTTAGGGAATAAAATAACGGTAAGAGACCATGTGTTGTTTATCTATATTATCGGGACCAGTCATCTAACAGAGTATTGATGACGACCACCGACTATTCTAGGTTGTCCGGTGGAGCACCAGTTGGGGGTGTTAATGATCATACTTTTCAGGGAAAAGGAAATATGTTCATTTGGGTACTCTATCCACCTTAGGGTTGTCTTATTGATATATATTGCTACGGAACCCCTGTAGTAATATTGTCTATGCATAGAGATCCTTTAGGATAGTCCAACAAGATCATCACCTTAGGATCAAGGAGTGAGAATAACGGGAATGTGTAATTGGGTTAATTGTGTAAAATAAAAATATACAGCTATATTATTGTGGGTTGAAAACCCTATGTGTTCACCAGGTTCCCCAATCTGACCCACTCAGTTTCTCTGTATCACAGGTAATGGTTTGAAGGTATATTATGCTGAGAGATTCAAGGAGTTTTAGGCCATTAGTATAGTTATGTAAGGTATGTAAAGTTTATGCTGATGTTCTGTATCAGTTCTAACATCCCAAGATTTTATTAATAAAACACTTCTTCATAAATATTTTTATGGGACACATTCCGCAACTCAATAAATACTGTGCTTTCAAATAAGCATAAATAAAATTGTCTTTTTTCAGACCGTAAAAATGGAGGTGTCGCAGTTGGTATTAGAGAACTAGTTTAAGAGAACAAGGAATATTATGGAATTTCTAGACTTAAAATTAGAATGTTAAACAATGACCGGGAGGTGTGTGTCTATTATATTTTAGGTAGTTTACCTAAATTAACACAAGAACTAGCTTACTTTAGGATAAGATGCCTAATTTGCTTTTATGTGCTAATTGATTTATAGAATAGCATGCCTTAGGTTGCCTATCTAAATTGCTATTATGCGGTTTAAGGTTTATTGCTGACCTAGAATTAGTAAATTTTATGTGTTCAAATTCCTAAACGTTATTAGAACTAGCATATACCTTTTCAGAGTGATAAAGAGAATTATATGGCAATAAAACCTTCATTATCTAAATTCTTGTCTCGGTATGCTAAAAGCCTTCCTGGGTATATAGAACTTCATGATGATCACAATGAGCGGTAGAGTCATCAATAACGAAGGAGGTCCAACACCTTAGAACTCCAGAGTAGCTACTGCTCAAATCCCAATGAATGAAGATCGAGCGATGATACATACCTGCTTGATCAAAAGCGACGTGAGTTTAAAGAGCTATTAGTTCAGGAACTGGCCAATGCTTGAGGCGGAGCGTCGGTGGTCAACGAACCGATAATCTTTGAGCAAGTCAACAATGGACTGGTTACCTCTGATCCAACAATGGTTCAGGAAGGGAACGATGACTCGAAAAGTCATAAAGGACCACTCCTTCCTCTGAAGAAATGAGGAAGCTAAAGGTTGTTGGAAGTATAAGGATTTCATGACTTGCAAGCCTTCATCTTTTAATGGAAAGGAAGATACATTTGGTGTCATGGACTAGATTTCAGAAATGGATCTGGCCTTCGTCACATGCGGTTACACAAGCAAATTGTAGACCACCTACGCAGTGAGACAATTCAAGGGAACAACGCTTTATTGGTGGAATAAATTAGGAAAAACTATTAGGAATGAATTCCTGATCCATTCCAAGAGAAAATTGTGCTAAGCTGAAAACATGTTGGAGATGGAAAATCAACTCCTGAATTTGAAGAAGGGGAGCATGAACTGTAGAAGAATACACCAACATTTTCACTAACAAGATGGAGTTTGTCCTATGCGTTGTTCCGAACGAACTAGCCAAATTTGACAAGTACACCAAGGGGCTACCATGGGAGTACACTGTACCAGTTAAACAGTCTCCTACTTTTAAGGCAGTTGTTTGGGCTGTAAGAGCAGTTAAAAGCATAATTAAGGTGAGGGTTATCGACAAGACTGAAGTCAAAGAAAAGGACATTTGATGGGTCATCTGGAAACGAAAACAGTAAATGGAAGAAGAATAAGTTTTCAAAGTCCAACCCCAACAATAAGTCTGGAGATAACAAGGAGGCAATGTGGTGCAAAAAATGTAAGGTGAAGCACGCAGGGCCATGCAACGAGGTCGTGACTTGCTTTAGATGTGGCAAAACCGGTCAATATGCTAACAAATGAACTATTTCTCAAAAGGAATATTTTGAGTGTGGGGAAGCCAGGCATTTCAAAGATGATTGCCTAAGAAAGAAAGAAGCTGCAAGTCCAAATGTCCGTCCAAAGCCAAAGGCGAGGGCATACCATATGATCTTGGATGCAACAAAGCATGAAAAGGAGACACTTAAGAAAAAGAGAAGAAAATCCATTTCTCCAAGATCCAAGATATGAAGCAGACATCCTATATAGATAGGATTAGATTGTGTAGCCTGATGTAATAGGCGTATAGTATGAATAATTATTGTAATCGCTTTTTAAGAAGTAATGAAACCCCTAATTATGTTACATAGTTCGTTGTGCGACAATAAGTAATTATGGTTTCAACATTATAGATTGGTTAAGAATAAAATCTGGTATAGTGTGCCTTGTAAGCAAGACACTGCATGAGAAGGAATTTATACCAAAGGTTGGGAAGTGGAATTGTGGTTGAAGATACGCATGGAAGAAATCGTAGTGGAGTCTAGGAAATTTGTTGTATATGATTACTTGGACACACCTATATGTGCTAAAATTGCTTTTGTGATCTTTAGGAAATAGTAACTTGGGGGCTGCGAGATAATTCTTGGGACAAGAGTGAGTAGGTGTGAAAGGTAGTAGATGCCTATACTATCGAAAGCACATGACTCACACTTAGATTAGGGAAAGTCACAAAGTTACTAAGTCTCTAAGTAGTTGAGCTATTTTGTTCATTTCCATCATTACCTTTGTTTCGATAACGACTACAAAGATAAATATTATTCCAAGCTTAGCAGTCATATCGAATCGAGTCCGACTAATCTACGAAGTAAGTTCGACGTAGCATCCGACTTTAGATTCAAGGAAAAGATAATCGAAGCGGTCAATAGTAGTATTGTGATCGTCATTAAGGCTAAGCAACCCGTAGCTAGACATGATACCTATCATGATGTGATTATATCACATTAGAACATGAAGGAATGTATCCTTCATGCTAGAGTCTAACTCAAAGAGACCTGAGTCTAACCATTTCATCATACGATGAGAGGTCATTAGAACATGACCTATCGGTCTGTTGCGATAATCAAAGTAAAGACCTTATCATTCTAGAAGGAACGGGAGCCTCTAATGGAAGGAAGAGCAGGTGTAGGATTTAGCACCATCAACAGTCAAGAAGTCTAAGAGTTAGGAACTCAATAACAAAAGAATTACGGTTATTACCTAGGATGGAAAGGTAACATGCATAGTCATTGTACAAACCATGTTTTGTTGATGATTCTGGGACGTAATCATCCTAAGGGAGAAGATAATTGTAACACCTGCAGATGAGAAGGAACACAACAGATGAAAAGGAACACATCAAACTACAGACAGTAGTGACGTTGATTTCAATGAAGAAAAAAACATAGTAAGCTCAGAGAAAAAAAGAAGGATGCGAACACAGGAGGTCAGGAGGCTTGGCCTCATTTATTTATTTATTTATTTTATTTTTTTGTGCTTCTAAATGCCGATCGGATCCATAGCCATTGGCTATCAAGCTATTTTACCCATATTGTATTCTTTTTTTGGGTTAAGTACAATTAATAGTGGATTAAAATTTAAAAAATTGGGCTCTTAATCTAAGTTCTAATTATATTTTTGGGCTTGGTTGATCTGAAAGAATGAGACATTCTTTCTTACGTAGTTGCACAAAAAAAATTTATGTAGTGGCACGATAGGTAAAAAAATTCAAATTTTTTTCTACTGTGTATAGAAAAAACAAGTGTTGTCGGTGCCACCGCCGTCACCCACTAAAAACTGCCCTAGTGTGTGTAGTTCGAGTTACATATGAGGTGAGGAAGAAGAATGCGGGGTGAGGAGGTGGATATGTTTTTTCTTTACTGATGTGTCAAGAGGGAAAAAAAACATTTTACCCTCATGTGAGGGGCGCATGAGATTTGCTAACGAAGGAGTTAACAATTGTTACGTCCAATGATCAAAGGCGCAATGAAACCTGGTTTTTAGACGTAATCTGCAAGTTGAAAAGTTATTGGAACAAATCGAAAGAAAATAGGAAACCATATTCACCAATTTTACAGTTTTGTCTAGAAAACAAAATCAAACGTCATTTAGATTGTGTCCAAACTAAAAAAAATAAAAAAGTTAATTAAAAAAAAATACATAAACACACACATTTTTACTCTAAATTTTATTAGAGTCTGCATCAAATTTAGATTGCGTCATTAAAAAAATATATTTGAAGCTTCACATGCATGATGCATATATAATGCAAGTTGAAAGTTCATTAAACGAATCAAAAGAAAGATTCATTTTTATTCATAAAAGTATGCATCTATAATACATAGACTATCCGTATAGTAAATATCACACACACACACAAAAAAAAAAAAAAAAAAAAAAAAAAAAAAAAAAAAAAAAAAACATAATTCCACTCCATATGTAATTAACACAAACAAACACGCATTTTAGATTCAGTTTGCTTTTGGGAGGTGATGGTTCTCAATATCCTTGGTGACGGTGAGGCAGAAATCCATCAAAGTGTGGGGGTCATCAATATTCTCATTGAGCTTCTCGTAATGGAAAGTCCAAGTCACAATGTTCTCTTCTCCATTGGTGTCCACATGAACTGTGATCAAGAATGTCTTGTAAGCCTCCAATATATCACCCCCAATCACCTTGAAGCACACTGACTTTTTCTCCTCATCGATTGCTTCGATCACTTCTTTAGCCACTTTTGCCTTCCCATCTATCATGTGATATAATATACATCATAAGTAGTTCAATTAGAATATGAATAATATGTTTGTTTTTTGTTGTAAATCTGAATGAACTTACCATGGATAAAGTCCCAGACAATCACAGATCCAACCACACCCCATTCACCTTCATGCAGATCAACATTTTTTATGCAACCAGGGCTCATTTCAGATATATGATGTGGTCTTTGTCTAAAGATTTCATGGAACACATCACCATCGGATTTGATGGTAATTTGATTCACCAGTGTACCACTTAAAGTCATCTCTAGTGATGATATATGATTATATGAAAAACAAGCGAATTGAAGAATAGAAGTATGAGAAAGGTAATACAGCTCCTCGGCTTTATATCGAGTGTTTCAATTCAATTATTGACCCTTAATTTGCTACTTACCCCATATGAAATTAATACTATATCTGTATATTGCCATAAAGATAGCTGCAGTGGGAATATATATATATATATATATATATATATATATATATATGTATATATATATATATATAACGAGGTTCAATAAAGAACCCATAATTAACAAGGAACCAGGGAACCAATCCTGATCGTCGGAAATCATAATGATCAACGGTCAAGGAAATGGATATACACTTGTACATTGTACGCACACACACCGGATTATACAAAAAAATACACCTCCTTACTAAAGACCCACTTCTTATTTTTGTTTAAAATTTTTTTAGGCCACATTTTTTTTTGAAAAAAAAAACCGAATATAAAGTTGTTCTCGATTTTTCGTTCTCTTTCCATAGAGATCGATGTTGATATATAAAAAACGAACATTTTTTTCGAAAAAACCCCACTTCATTTTAATAGTTTTTTCAATATTTAAGTTTATTTTTATCAAATAAAAAACTAATTATACCAAAAATATTAATTTTTTAACTCTATTAAAAAACATCAACACCGTCTAAAAAAAAAAACTCGATCAGTGTAGATTCACACTATGAATCTAAACTGTAAATATTTCAATTTTTAACATTCACAATGTGAAAAAGCTCGATCGGTTTAGATTTATATTGTGAATCTGACTTACTATTATGCACACTGTGAATCTAAGAAGGTTCACAATTTGAATCTGAACTGAAATATCGATTTTTTTTAACATCAATATAAATATATGTTTAAAGAGTACCAAAAAATTATGAATTTTGATATATTTATTAATTTTTTTCTATAAAAAAATAGACCTACTTTTCAACAAACAAAGAAAATGAAGTGAATTTTTTGAAACAAAAATCAATTTTTATATATCAATATGGATCTCTATAGAGAGAGGATGAAAAATCACAAACAATGGTATATTCGGTTTTTTTTTTTTGATAAAAAATATGGCCAAAAAAAATTAAACTAAAAAAAATGAAGTGACTTTTGTTATAATCCGGTGGATGTGCGTCAATTGTAAAAGTCTACAACCCTTCTTTTTACCGTTGATCGCTTTAAATTTCGACGTTTTAGATTGGTTCTTTTTTAATAATGATTCTCTATTTGAACTTTGTTTCTCTCTCTCTCCTCCCTCTCCGTCTCATCCTCTCTCTCTTTATAGATATATATATATATAGATATAGATATATATATATAGATATATAGGATATATATTATCAACGAATGAAGTATTATGTCCCCTTTCACCACATTCATTTGAAACTCCCATAACTTTTCAATTTCTTTTCTAATAATAATTATAAGTTGGTTAATAAGTTAAATAAATACCAACCTAAAGTGTATCATATATAAACTAAATTCAGTATTAAAATAATATTTTTACTTCTACTTATAAAGTTATGTTTTGTTAACTTTTAATATATTATACTTACTTTATTAGGTGTTTAATATATTGGTGGATGTAAACCATTATCGTTTTAAAGATACAATTTTGAAACAATTGTATAAATATTTAAATTATTAATTTGAATATTACAATTACAGGGTCAACTTAAATATAAATTTTAGTTTAACTTAAACAACCCAAAGAATATTTTGTAAATAGTTAAAAGTGATTAATTGTAGTGTCTTTCTAATAATGATTATAAGTTGGTTAATAAGTTTAAATAAATATCAAACCTAAAGTGTAATCATAAATATATAAATTTCAATTTTAATAATATAATTGACTTCTACTTATAAAGTTATGTCTTTAACTTTTAATATATTATACTTAACTTATTAGATTTAATATGTTGTTGTATGTAAATCATTATCAGTTTAAAAGCTACAAAGTTTGAACAGTTTGGACAAAATACTTAAATTGTTAATTTAAATATCACATTACAATGTCAACTTAAATATAAATTTCAGTTCCACTTAAAAACCAAAGAATATTTTATAAATAGTTAAAAGTGATAAATTGTAGTGATAAATGCAAAAACTAAATTGTAATCTCAATTTAACTAAAATATTTCCTAAAAATATTTTTATAATCGTTAAAAGTTTTCAAATAAGTAGTTTTAAATAAATTACAATAACAATAGTTAAAAATAACTCTATATAAATGATTATATTGTTATCTTTAAAATCAAAAAACAATGTTTGATGTTTTAAATAATTATAATGATAGAAATTAAAACATTAAGCAAATAAATTTAAAAAATTAATTAACAATAACAACAACTATAATAAACATTAAACCATATATTATATTTAATTTATTCATGTGTACATGGGTAACTCGCGGATAGAAGTCATTCAAGCGATTGAGATTAATGCAGTTATAATAGATGTATATATTATCATATAATTCAAAATAATCAATATATTATATCAATTTAGTATACGAATTATTATATCAAATTTAACATAAACGTTATTGCTATATTTAAAAAAATCATATATTTGTAAAGATTCAATTATATAGGTGTTTCTGGACTGCACTTTTCCTTTCATCACATTAATATGAAACTCCTATGACTTTTCAATTTCTTTCTAATAATAATTATAAATTGATTAATAGGTTAAATAAATATTAAACCTAAAGTGTATCATATATAAACTAAATTTTCATATTAAAATAATACATTACTTCTATTTATAAAATTATATTTCTTAACTTTTAACATATCATATTTAATTTATTAGTTTTAATATTGATGAATTTAAACCATTATTATTTTAAATATACAATAAAACTATTAATATCGGTAGAAACTCAAAAAACAATAAAAAAGGACAAAACTCAACCACTTGTTGATAAGATTAAAGTCGAACAGTTGACTATTATGATTTTTTAGCGGTGGCACTTCTGTTATTACGAAAAGTAAAAGGGGCAAAGTCTTAACTAAAAACTAGAAACACGCCGACGTGGGATGCACCGACCTCTTCCTACTTCGTCTTTTTGCACGTGTCATGTTAATAAAAGTTGGGTTTTATTATATCCTTTAAATCTTATTTATTAAATAATTTGTTTTGTTAGTTAAAAAGGAAAATTAAAAATACCAATGTTTTTTATTTTTTATTCTCCACAGAACAAGCCTAATATTGAATACTTTCATTTTGAAAAAAGAAAAATCAAATATTAGTTCATAGCCTACTTTATACAAAAAATATAACGATACAAATCTTAAAAGAAACTTATATACATTATAGTAGTAGGTTTGTAAAAAAAAAATGAAAGACAAATGTTTTTATTTTAATTTTTAAAAGTATTAGTTCTTAGAAAATATAATGAAAAAAATATATTATCTTTAAATGTATAAAAAAAAGCAAATAAACAAGTTCTTGGTATTACTATTTTAATGAGTTTGTAAAAAGTTTAAAATATTGTTGTTAAATGTATCTCGTTTTATTGAAATGAATCCAAACTTTTATAAAAGTAAGACATGAAAATTTTTATTCTACAAATAGAAAAAAAAAATTAAACGGTTTTTGTATATTTTTTTATTATTACTTTGCATTTAGAATATTTGAAAAATAAGGTTATCTAGCTATTACACTTTATTTTAAAAGATTATACGTTTTAAAAAATATATATATTGAAAATGAAATGATCTAAAATGAGATAATTCAAAATAGTTATGATCCAAAAAAATATTATTAAACATGTGTATGGTCTTTAAGTTGTTATGATCCAAAATTATTATGATCCAAATACATTATGATGGTTAATCTTATTTTTTATGGATAAATTTAAATGATTCAAAAAATATAATAATCCATAAATTGTATAGCAAAAACTTGATTTAGTTAAATTTATTATGATCCAAAATAAATTGATATAAAATAATATGATCCAAAAATGGTATTATCCAAAATATTATGATTCAAAATGATATGATCCAAAGTATTATGATCTAAAATTATATGATTCAAAATATTATGATCTAAAAATGATATAATTCAAAATATTATAATCCAAAATGATATTATTCAAAACGATATAATCCAAAATATTATGATTCTAATTATTATGATCCAAGTTATAAAAAAAATGTTTCCAAAAAGTCAATTATATGATCCAAAATGATATGATAAAAAAGTTATATTACTTAAATACGATATGATTTAAAGTTATAAGATTTATAAATATTAGTATGAGTTAAATCATATGATCCAAAAATAATATTATATAAAATAATATGACTCAAAATATAATTATTCAAAAATGTTATAATCTAGAACTTTATTTAAAATTCAAGTAACGATTGTAAATTGGCAAAAAAAAATTAATGAACGTCTTAAAATTAAATTATTTATGTTTGTATTTTGTAATGTTAGTAAAAAATCAACTCCAAATCATATGGAGTAGGGGGAGCAAAAATCGCACTGTAACTAAAATTAACCGCAAAAACCGCAATAAAAACCGATGATGAGGTTTTCTGTTTCTAAAAAACCGCAAATTTGCGGTGCGGTGTGGTTTATTAGTTTTCAAAAACCGCAAAAAAACTGCACTGCACCGCATATATTATATACAATTTTTTTATTAGTTATTAATATAATAAATATTAAAAATAAGACAAGTTTCATGGATGAAAGAAGGATAAAATTTAGAAGAAAAAAATGTTGGTTTTTTCTTATGTTTAAGTTTGGAAAATTGTGAAATTTGAGAATTTAAAGATACTTATTGTTAATTACTAGTGATTTGACGTTTTTAAGATATTAGTTGTTTGTAATTTAAGTTAATTGTCTTATACTATAAAGTTTTTTTATTATTACAAGTAATATGTTTAAATTATTAACTCTAAACCACGGTTAAAAACCACACAAAATAAACGCACCAAATCCATGCGGTTAATAACCGAAACACAAAAAAACAAATCCGCACCGCAAAAATAACCGCCTAACCACACCGCAAAATAACCGCAACAAGCGGTTTTGAAAATGGATTAACCGCATTTGCGGTTGGTGGTGAGGTTTTGGCCAATGACCGCACCGAACCGCA